TCGTAAGTTGTATATCTTCATATAGTTAACAGTTAATTTTAAAAACATTGGATCTATGCTTTTTCTGTCTCTAGAGTCTATTTAATTAAAAAAAAATAATTCTTTATAAAAACACTGTGATGACTTTTATGTTAGAAGTCTTTTATTTGTATTGGCTGTGATTTTTTTGTATTCTGTATTTAAGCCGATTTTAGGATTAAATGCAGTCGGTTATTGTGTAAATATTTATCCTTCATTTTGATTCATTTTACAATTATCTCGATACACGATCATGTGAGTTTTCCAATGGTAATAACAAAAAAATATTTACATTTCTTACATTTAACCTTGTCTTTAAACCATTGGAATGAATAACAGTAATAACGATAATAATAATGGTAATAATAGTAACAATGTGACTTATTTAGAGATGATCCTAGTGTAGTAAAAATTTCCAAAGTATCAAAACAAAATACTGCATATTATGAACAAGAACTGTCAGTATTATATGATCAATGTGGATTAGGCCTCGAGTCTTCCTTTGTTGGTCCTGGTCGTCAATATATCTGTGAATGATACTTTGTTGTCTGATTAGGTTTTCAATGTGAACTAATATGGTTGAAAATGTTTTTCATCAGATTGCAAGTCTTGTCCATTTAGTCTCTTTGGATGATAATGGATGTATCGTACAGATAGCGTGTTCAAAACTTCGGTTTGATTATCGAGAAGACTAAAGTTTACAGTCTCTGGATACTATTTATGTCACAAATTTAGATACTAATGATCCCACTTGGGTTATTTTCGTTTGTTTGTATATTTAGCCGTTGAATTAAAAATCTGGTATTAGACACAATTAGATGAGATCAATTAAACTATGATTTCATGTACTTTTAAACTAATACGAGTTTAAGAAGAATAAAGAAATTAACTTGCTACTCATATGAAGTTCAGTAAAAATTTGAAAGACTAACTTCACAAAATTTAGGTTATTAGTAGAGGATATTAGACACAGAATCATATTTGTAAAGAAAACTTCAGCCATTGAAATTAAATGACTCCAATATTTCTCCTGCTAATCTGGATAACTATTTTCATAAAAAGGTTTGAGTCAGATCGCTGGCAAAGTTCTTGGATTTCAAGGTTCTGGATACAATATCCGGTTGTGTTATGAGTGCGTACTTCTGATCATTTCCAGCATCAATCAGTTTGGGTGTCTAGTGTTGCTTGGGTTTAGATGATCCATCAATTACAGAGATTCTTTAGACCCAGAACCTCTTGACACGTTGAAGTTAATGCTTCTTTGATACTTTTCCAGTTGTCCTCCACCGTTGTTTCTTCTTTTTCAGTAGATCCTGTAAGGCTTTGTTCTCTGAGTTGGATGGTTTGGTCGTGCAAAACTCCATCAAAACCATCCACCTGAGCTACTAATCTTCTCCACCATCTCCTTAAATTTATTTCAATTATGTAAGATAGTACTTGTTAACAGTCTTTAGTTGTGTGCCACATTACCGAACCTCATGAGTGGTGTAAAATGTTTATACACCATTAGCTATAAATGTGTAGTCTATGCTAAAAAGTAGAAGAGTTGTCAGTCATTTAAACGATAAACTAGATGAGTATTTCTGTGCAATACTCGCATTGTTAGAGTTTTCAATAAACGAGATGCTGTAAATTAATTGACACCGATATTTTCAAAATATGGACAAGAAGTAACTGTATTGGAGCTCCGAAACAGAAAAACTTCAGGGAATCACTTCTAGCAAGTAAACGGGGTTTCGAAATTACGGTCAGTCACTACCACATTTGCAGGAGGATTGCTATGGTACAACAGTCATCCATTAGCACCTCTGTACAATTTTTAGGACTATAACGTTTTCTAAAATATAAATCATCATAACTTGTCCACGAGTAGGGAATAAATATGCTCATTAAAAAAAGAAAGTCAAGTATGTGCATCGAAAAGTAATGGAACACAATAAAAGTGAGTAACAAGAGGAAAAAGTGATAATTATGAGGCATTTCACTAACTAAAAATAAATTTGAATAAACTGTTACACATAATCATATTATTACTATGAACAAAACTATTTAGGTATTTTATTGAAAAATATATAACTACTAGAATTTCATTCATTATTCTGTTTTCTCTCAAAATCAATCTTAATGATAGTGAATACTGAGGTTTTTAGGTAGAATTATGCGATGAACATACTTCTGTAAATAAAGCTGATACACTTTCCATTTTATCTATACTTAATAAAATAAATATGGGAATTTTCACGTAGAATATATAAACTATAACTAACAATGAAATTCAGGATGGCTAATATCATCCTCATCGAATGGATATACTTGCATCCTAGAAATGATATTCACTTCGGGCTCCTAATTCAATGCTATATAAACTTGAGACTATGACATTTGATCGAGACAATCGGTATAGGATACAGGTAACGTCAACTAAAACTGATCAAAATCCAATCAAACTATCAATAACAAAATAATTCAAGCCATTAAAAATTAAATTAAAATGTGAGAATCAGTAGAACAGATTTTTCTTTATTCATTTTTTTTATATAAAAATATTCGTTACAATAATTTGAATGGAATATTTCTACCAATAAACTAATGACAAAATATATCTGGGAAAAACAGTAATATCTATGTACATACTTCTTTCTCTTTTTTTTTTCTAACATAAAACATCATCTATAGTAATCGTAAAATCATTTATAGATAATTTTTTTTTTGAGATGGTGGAGAAGATTTATAACTCAAATGGATGATTCTGATGAAGTTTTACACGATCAAACCATCCAGCTTAGAGAATAAAACTCCATCAAAATAGATATTTGTTCTCTCTCTTTTTTTCCATTTATTTTATTATTATCTGAATGAATAAAATGAGAAAAATAAATTTTTTTTGAAAAAAGTTAACTATCAGTTTCACTCTTTTTTGTTTTAATAATAAAATGGGAATTTTTTGTAAAATTTATTCCTAAATTGAATACTTTTATTGATTTTTCATTTATTCAGTTGATATAGTACTTGATACATTATTATTATTACCATTATTACTATTACTATTATTATTATTATTACGATTATAATTACTACTGGTTAGCGTTTTTTTTGTTAGCGAGTTACTGACGTTCTACTATTTGAAAATGACATATATTCTATACAAGTTATTATTCAAGTTAATAAATCATTTCTTATCTAACAGTTATTTTTATGATGCCTTTAAATCTTACTTTTTAATTAATTATAAGTGAGATTTTTATGATAATTTATGTCAATCTTATGATAGTTAAGTGTGAAAAAAAACGTGATTATTGTATGTGTATAGATGGATATTTTTTTTGTTAGATTGGAAAACAAAAATGGTAGGGTTAGTGTAATCCTAAAAGTAGCTGATAAATGGCTAAAAGAATAATCTAGAAGAGATAATAATGATCACATTAATGTGCCATATCAAATATTTACAGCCAAACAGTCAGTTTACTTTACTATTGAATAATTTTCTAATGATAGACTGTCTTTAACTGAGTTTTGAGATGAATCATGTACTTGTAATATATTAATTATGTTTCAAAGTACATTATACATAATTGTTTGATGCAAGAAATTTATTACTATATAATTTGATAGCTGGGTTGTTAAGGTGTATGTAATAATTATCTTCAAAAGAGATCTTAATGTTTATTATTTATGCCTAGTTATAAACAATTTTTTGCCTGATAACCTGTTCAGTGTCAAAATATACAAAAACATTTATCTGTCAAATATAAGTTCAAAGAACAACATAGTTTATACATCCATGTTTTAAAACTTAATGAAATGCTTATCAATAAATATTTTGATGAAAATGCTCTAATCACCTAGGTGAACTACAATTTAGCTAAATATTAAATGTGACATACTTATAATTGGATTTTTCTTTTATTATTATTACTATCATCATCATCATCATCACAATTTCAGACGTTTTCACCGACAATTTCTTATGCAATGTAATTTGAAGTTAATCACTAAATCTGGATAAATTCTTTGCAAAGTTATGCTTTTCCAAAAAAAAAGCATTTAAATTTTTTAATGATATTAAATTATTTGAGGCAATCGACATGAAGCCGTGAATGTTAATTTCATACTAGATCAGAGTTGTCAGCAAAGCCTATCCATAATTTTCCACAAACTTATTCCTCCTCTCCTCATCGAATTCAAATCCTCAGAATTCATTGTTACGGCATATATCAGCGACGGTATTTTTAAAACATGAACAATTAATCACAATATCATCTATAAGATATTATAGTTTATAATTAACCTAAAAAGTGTATGACAATGAAATAATATGTTTTAAATATCCCAATGAATAGAAGTTCATTTCTTATGGCTTAGTGTAAGTCGCTTTTCCTAAAAATAAATTAATAACCGAATTCAGTCAACACAAAGTCAGTATATATGATCAAAAATGTGGAATTATGGACTACCTAACTCCGATGTTTAGGTTATGAGAGCTGAATGTCCTACTTTTGATCACTTGCAGGGTCATGAGTTCTTAACACAAAATTCTCAGACCAGAACAAAGCACCTCTTTGGTGTTTCCTAGTTTTCAATTGATAGAAATTATATTCAAGTCATTGTGTATGTTTGCAAGAAGTGAGAAGGAATGGAAAATAAAAAAATCGGGCAATTGTGTTTCAGTGAAACATTGATTCTAGCAGGTATTTTTCATCAAGTGGTAAATGAGTCATATGGATTATGAAGAGGACGCTCCTACTTGTGTTCTGATTTTACCGTTTGAGTGACTATTATATAAGAGTCTAGCAATATTGCTAATCCACTTATTTTTAAAATATTTACCATTGTTTAATGATGAATATTTGTTTGCTACAATATTCATTTAATACATCATATAATTTTCAATATTACCGTCTGTTGGTTTTACATAGGTTTTTACACTTCAAGGTCAATTTATCTTTCGTTTTGGAGAGTATGGATATCACCCTGGTCAGTTAATGCGACCGGTTGATGTAGCAGAAACAATTAATGGGAATTATCTGGTTTCAGATTATGATTTACACTGTGTGACGGTATACAATACAAGTGGACACTACATGTCTAGATTTGGCCAACGTTACCTCTCTGGTCCTAAAGGTATGGTTGTAGACAGTCGTGGACGTATTGTGGTAGTCGATCAAAAATCTTGTATGATTTGTATTTTTAAGCCAACTGGAAAGTTTATCAATCGCTTCGGTGCACGCGGTCTAGCTGATAATCATTTTGGCAATCCAATATTTATAGCTGTTAATTCACGAGATGAAATATTTGTCTCAGATCATGTACATCATTGTATTAAAGTATTTGATGTAAATGGACTATTTTTATTTAAATTTGGAGTGAACGGAATTGATCCGGGTATGTTACATGCTCCAACAGGTATTGGATTTGATCGATTTGACCATATTTATATCAGCGACTGGGGGAACAATCGGGTACAGGTTAGTATAATGATAAATGGAACTCATTCATGCGCTTATTATAATAATTGTATGTAAAAAAACTCCAGTTGATAGCTTTTATATTAATTATTGATAAAGTTAAGTCTATATAAAGCCTTGGTATTAAAGTTTTGAGTTACAATCTAAAATATAAATTTTTGTTTACTTAGAAATGTCCAACTATAAATAAAATATATAGGTGTTATAAAGTTGTAAATTTGATTGGTTTACAGTTGTTATAGCTCAGTTAAAAAAAAACCTATGAATTTCTAGGCAAGAAGAGACAGTCCTCTGTCTAACTTACAGGTATAAATTTGTTACGATCTAAAAATGAAAGTGCCATCGCATGTTTTGAGATTGCATTCTTGTAATGATACTAAGAGGATGTTTTTACTGGCTTAGTATCGTGCTGAAATATGTTTAGCTAGTTATTTCTTAACTGTTTACTCAGTGTTTCAGATAATGAAGTTGAATAAAAAGACTAAAATGTTTTCGTATTTACTGGGTATAATTATTTGAAAGTCAAATGTTATTTGTGTAAAGAAATTTTAATAAATTTTGTATCTTAAGCAATGTACAATGTCTCAAAATTATACTGGAAGGGTAAAAACGGAAACTATGTCTGTATGCAACCAACTACTATTATGTTTTCTCTTAGAAAAGAAGGTTGAAAAATGGTGTCTTAGATACCTAATTGTTAATCATTTGACATCTGGATAGTATCAGTTGCTATATAAAAAATATGAATAAAGGAAGCAAATAATAAGAAGTCTTCTTCCATAAAATACTTTAATGTATTCACCGTTGGTTTTTATACATTGGCGACACAAATCGGTGATTATATGCTGATTTTGAAAGTGTCACAATAAATTTTACTTCAGACAAGTGAAAAATGTGATTATAATATCACGTTTAATTTGTTCTTAAAGGTTTTTTAAATATGAATACCTTTTGTAGCAAAATAATCGATTAGAACAGTCTAATGTAAAGATAGTAATTACTTCCAGATTGAATGAATATTTAATTGTAGACAAGTGAAACTAGGTGTCCAGATTTTAAATATTTAGCCATATATTACAGTAGAATAATGAACCTAGATATTATTCTATAAGATGATCCGACTGTGAAACATTAAACTCGATATTAGAATTTTCCTGTATGCGATAAAATTTTAACTTGAGATTAGACTTGCATAAGGGGATGGTATTCGATATAGATAAAAAGATAGATTATGATTTACTTCACTAAGTTTAACTAATTTATATACATTTATTGTAGTTTATGTATTTTAAATCAAAATTATTAATAATATCTTGCCACAGTTGATAAGCATATTTATGCGATAGCGATAGTTCTTAGATGATATTAAAAGCAACCAGCATGTTATACGTTATTCAATTGACCCATGATCTCAACTATTAAAATTACTATAATATACACAAAAGCACTTCTGATACTATTCACAATATACTCATTAGTGACGGTCTCCAAGAGGTATATCCTGGAGTTCTAGTGAGAAGCAGTGACCAGTGGAGTTCAACCGGGTCTGTTGTGAGATACTAACTCACTGGACACAATGTTGAATGTGTCGCTTAATTTCATGGATTAGTTGAAGTTAGACATTAACACCATTGGATGTCGGCTCAGTGGTCTAATGGTTAAGCGCCCGCGCGTGAGACTGATAGGTCCTGGTTTCGAATCTTGTGAGGTGGGGTCTTGGATGCGCACTACTCAAGAATTCCACAGTAGGATGAAACGGCCGTCCAGTGCTTCCAGATTTTCATGGTGGTCTAGCTTCAAAACTAAGGTAAATACATTTTTAGGAGGTTGATAAAAATACTATAAAGTTCCTATTATAAGAAATTGTACGATGCTCCAAAATAGTGAGTAAATTCTACACACATAGTAGCAAACGTATTACTTACAAAAATTATTATTTTGTATTAATAATTAAAGTAATATATGCTTTCAGGTATTTGATCAAACTGGAAACTATTTACGTATGATTGACAGTAAACTGGAGACATTAAGCGGTCCTCAAGGTTTGGCGCTGCATCAAGTATCCAATAAACTTCTTGTTGTAGATCCAGGCAATTATTGTTTCAAGGTATTCAATGCCAATTCAACAAAAGATCAAGGCCGACAATCATCCATATTCGTCAGTCGGAGTTAGTGGTTTGGTGATCACAAATTTGAAAAAAAACATTGAGATTTCAATAATGCCTTTCTTATAATTACAAAACTAAGCTTCCTTAATCCTACCTTTCTCTCCTATGTACAAAAGATGACCTAATGGAGCAATTTTTCTTTGTATAGGATACTTTTTATGAATTTCCCTTGGAGATTACAAGATTTTCATCATAATATTCTTTATCACGAATTTAATCAAATTTATTTGAATATTTGTGTATGCATTTATATTTAAGACATGGTGACATATACCTCACATTTTGTCAGATATATGAACACATTCATTGAGAAATCGCTCAGCATGATTATTGCTCAGCTCAATGGCTTTTTATTAGTTACCTGGATTTAATTAACTTTCAATATTACTCAAAATACTTGATTTACTGCAAAATTTATTCTTAAATATTCATTTGAAATAAGTAGAGTAATATATAATTGGTAGGTTGAATTGTTTCTAGCTTCATTTAACATTTCTCAAAGATGATTTAATGCATAAACTTCTAGTCATAGGTTATTATGTAAATAAAATCACAAATGATTTACAGTCTTTCTGAAAAGAAAATCTATGTTAGAGCTCACATTAATTTATCATAAATACATCATTTATCAAATGTAATTATTGGGAACTAACTTCAATACTCTGTCATAATGTGCAAAATATTAATTGATAATTTGAAATTCATTTGATTTTCATTAATCTTCAGATATTTCATTGCATGCCAACTGGTCATAGTGTATTGAATTTCCAGGCATGTTCATTCTATCTCATACGTTTGTACATATGGTAAGAGAAGAACAAAATTATGATCGCGTACTCAGTTGTTTGGTTCTCTTGTTTGTTATTTAACTGGGGATGCTTAATAAATTTACTGCACTAGTCAATCCAGTCTTGTAAGCCATTATCACTCACTTAATTATCATCAATCTAGAGTCTCAAACAAATATGCATTGGCACAATTTGCCATATCGTGTTACTTGCTTACTTACTTAGTTTCGCTTGTTACTCCCAATGGAGAATAGGCCGCTGACCAGCATTCTCCAACCCACTCTGTCCTGGGCCTTCTTTTCTAGTTCCATCTAATTCTTGTTCATTTTTCTCATGTCTATCTCCATTTCTCGGCGTAATGTGTTCTTTGGTCTTCCTCTTTTCCTTTGGCCTTGAGAATTCCATGTGAGGGCTTGTCTTGTGACGCAGTTGGGTGCTTTCCTCAATGTGTGTCCTATCCACTTCGGGCGCTTCTTCCTGATTTCTTTCTCCAATGGGATCTGGTTTGTTCTCTCCCACAGTACGTTGTTGCTAATAGTGTCCGGCCAATGGATCTGAAGTATTTTGCGTAGACAATTGTTAATAAACACCTGTATTTTCTGGATGATGGCTTTCATAGTTCTCCAGGTTTCTGCCCCATACAGTGGAACTGTCTTGACATTTGTATTGAAAATCCTGACATTGGTGTTGGTTGACAGTTGCTTTGAGTTCCAGATGTTCCTCAGTTGTAAATATACTGCTCTTGCTTTGCCGATCCGCGCTTTCACATCTGCATCAGATCCACCGTGTTCATCAATGATGCTGCCCAGATATGTAAAGGTTTTTACATCTTCCAAATCTTCTCCGTCAATTGTGATTGGATTGGTGCATTCTGTGTTGTATCGGAGAATCCTGCTTTTCCCTTTGTGTATATTGAGACCTACTGCTGCTGAGGCTGCTGCCACACTGTTCGTCTTCTCCTGCATCTGTTGTTGCGTTTGGGATAGAAGGGCCAGATCGTCTGCGAAGTCTAGATCATCCAACTGCATCTTAGATGTCCATTGTACCCCGCGCTTCCCTTCAGACGTTGACGTCTTCATGATCCAGTCGATCACGAGGAGAAAGAGAAAGGGTGAGAGTAGGCAACCTTGCCTAACACCGGTCTTCACTTCGAACGACTTTGTCAACTGTCCTCCATGCACGATTTTGCAGTGTAATCCATCATATGAGTTCTGTATGATATTGACTATCTTCTGAGGCACGCCGTAGTGTCGAAGAAGCTTCCATAGTGTTGTTCTGTCCACGCTATCAAATGCCTTTTCGTAGTCAATGAAGTTGATGTAGAGTGATGAATTCCATTCAATTGATTGTTCCACAATGATCCGTAGAGTTACGATTTGGTCTGTACACTATCTATCCTTACGGAATCCTGCCTGCCGGTCACGAAGTTGGGCGTCTATGGAGTCCTTCATCCTGTTTAACAATACCCTGTTGAAGACTTTTCCCGGTATTGAGAGAAGAGTGATGCCCCTGTAGTTATCACACTTGCTGGGATCGTCTTTCTTCGGTATTTTGATCAGAAGTCCTTCTTTCTAGTTTAATGGTACTTGTTCCTCATCCCAAATCTTATTGAAGAGAATGTGGAGTATCCTTGCAGTTGCCGATACGTCTGCTTTTAGTGCCTCTGCTGGAATGTTGCCTGGTTCTGCTGATTTCCCAATCTTAATTTGTCTGACTTTCTCTGCTCTTGTTCGGCTGGTATTGATTGCTACCTTCTTGTTCCTTCTTTCTTGAATCTCGTCCAATGTATCACCAGTGATCCATTCTTTGTGATGGTGCTTCTTGTGGCCCAGAACCTCATGGCATGTTGAAGTGACTGCTTCTTTGATCCTCTTCCAGTTGCTCTCCGTAGTAGTTCCTTCTCCATTGAGTAGATCATGAAAGGCCTGGAACTTATTGCTGAGGACTATCTTGAATTTGTTGAGTTTTTCAGTATCCTGAAGAAAGGCCGTATTGAACTTTTGTGATATTGTCCGCCCAGTTTTACAATACTTCTTGAGTTTCAATTTCATCTTGGCGACCAGCAAGTGATGATCTGATGCTATATCAGCTCCTCTCTTGGTTCTCACGTCCTCTATAGTCCTCCTGAACGTTTTGTTGATGCAAATATGGTCGATTTGGTTTTGTGTAGAGTGATCCGGTGAAGTCCATGTGGTTTTGTGTATGCGTTTATGTGGGAATATGGTGCCGCCTATGACCAGTTTATTGAAGGCACATAGGTTTGCAAATCTCTCACCATTTTCGTTTCTTTCTCCCAGTCCGTGTCGTCCCATGATGTCTTCATATCCAGTGTTGTCCGTTCCAACCTTGGCATTGAAATCTCCCATCAGAATGGTCAGGTCCTTTGTTGGGCACTTCTCGACGATTGACTACAGCCTATTGTAGAATTGATCTTTAGCGTCTTCCTTGTAGTCGTTGGTAGGCGAATAGCATTGGATGATGTTCATTGAAATGCCCTCTTTCTTTGTTTTGAACGAGGCTTTGATGGTCCTTGGTCCATGAGATTCCCATCCTATAAGCGCATTTTGCGCTTGTTTGGACAGCATCAATGCAACTCCTTGTGTATGTGGTGCATTTTCTTCTTCATGGCCGGAGTATAACAGGAGCTCTCCTGTAGTTAGTCGTTGTTGTCTAACTTGTGTCCAATATGTTTCACTGATCCCAAGTACCTCTAGGTTGTATCTTCTCATTTCTACAGCAATTTGGAAGGCTCTCCCGGTGTCCCACGTTGTACGAACACTCCATGTACCTAAATAAATGGTCGCTCTGGTTGTCAGAAGGGGCATCGGCCTCGTAACTACCGAAGGAATTCGGCTTTCATCATGAGGCGTCATAATTCTTCTAAATGAAGACCTTCTAACTCCCAGGGCAGAGTTTAAAAGGTTTGAATAATTTTTTCTGGTTAGCGTCTTTTTAGCGAGTTAGTTTTATACGGGATGGGGACGCTAACCCCATGCCCAACCCTCCTCCTTTATCCGGGCTTGGGACTGGCAGTAGCCCCCGGAGGGACTCCAGGTGGAGTTGCCATACCGTGTTAGCACGATGTAATAAAATCAACAAGTCGAATTGCAAAAGATTTCTATACAATGCAGTAAAAGTGACGATGAGAAAGATAAAACATTGAGAATATAGTTCAAAAGGACAATTGAAAGGTATATATGAAAGAATGTTTAAATCAAATGTTGAAAGGAAGATGAAGGGGAAATGTTTTTGTGGCCGTTTGATCTGACTCCAAGATCGTATAGATGTTTGTTATCGCTGATTCTCGTATATCATCGTCGACTTGAATCGCGTTATCCAATAACGGAATTAAATAAGTCGAATAACGAGAATTGACTTGAGAATACATATATTTCGTACATGAAGCGAATGAAGCATAGCAAAGCAAAAATGACACGTATGGAAGATGGCTGGGAAGCCAACTCCATTTTAATCAAGTGTTACTCAGTATTTATAGGCAGACAAAATAAACTACAGACGTGATGAATCATGGGACATGAAGTGCACACACATATACGCTCATGTGAAAACAGTCAAGGCTAATAAGCGAATAATTGACAAGGTCAAAATATGGCTCAAGTAAAATGAATAAAATAGGATGTCCGGAAGTTAGAATAAGATATATGGGCTTGCCATAATAACTGACACTACAATGTACTTGGTTCATTGTGAACGATTCTAAGTTATATCACCTAATGTCTCCAGTCACTGATCGAGGTTATCGTACTTGGGTTGATGAGGTAATCCACGCATACTAACATGTCCAGAACAACAGTGAGTGACTTCATAGTCTGATGCCGAGTATTTATTTGGCTTCCATTAGCTTCCAAATTAATTCTGGGCCGCCCTGGGTAGGCAGCGGTTGATCATACATAACACTTATCCCAATCGCTTTAGTTAGTGGAGATTTACAGTCTTATCAACCAATACGCCATCTTTCTTTAGTACCCTATATCTAACTTCAACAGTGATTACTCGATAGTTTTACAACAGTCGAGAAATACTTCGAAAATACTTATGATCAAAACGAGTAGCCTACATTTGTTTACTTTGAACACGGGCCTCTATGATTTGCAGCATGCAAATAATAAGACAAAACTGGTTCAGATGAATATTTTTATTAACTGTCTAAAATAATTTGAGATAACTGATGCTGGCTACTGGAAATTGTGAATCGCACAGCACAAGTAAAAACTTAAGAAGACTGTAGATTAAGATTTGTTTTACACCCAAATTTAATCAAAGCCATCTCCAAAAAGCACTTATT